AGGGCTCTCTTTTTTACACCCATGTCGATGGAGAGACGGCTGGTCGAATCTCACCGGGGGTTTTAGTGTGTCGTTCGAACCTGTTAACGAATGCTTCTGCCAATTGCCCCAAGAGCGCTATGCTGCTATCCAGGAAGTTGTCCTCGAACCAAGCCGACAAGTCAAGCCAGAGGTCGCAAAGACTTGATGGGAAGAAGTATGCACATAAGGCCTCGTTTCGCCTGTAATACAGCCCATGACTTAGCGAAATGGCTTAAGTGTGAGTAAGGATCCGTCTCCCTTCATATGTATGTGAAATTTCGGCTAGAAGGAAGCCTGATGGTAGGGACGGTTTTCGATCGCTGGAACAAACGGTGAAGTTGCAGCCTTGCTAATGCCTTGTCCCAGTCGGTTCATAGACAGGGCGCGGTATTGGCATTCCAACTTGAACCGCTTCCAAATGCGTCGAGGAGCAACCGCATGCAAGGCTGAAACTCTATGTGGATACCCTTGCCCTGGCATCACTCCTTGCATATCGTGCTTTCTCTTTGAGCACGGTTCAGTAAGTCGGATGATCTGGGTAATTCCGTCTAATTTAGATCTGGTTTGGTGGCGAAATGGCGAGGGCCCAATATGTGCTTTTCTTTCAGTGTATGACCTTTCATGATCTCGTCCTGCCCATCAGCCTGGAGTGACGAGTTCTGGAAGAGCGGATTGAGTGTCGCCTGTCCTGAGGCTTCTCTCTCTCCTTGCGAGGGTTGTACGTATTCCTACTAGCGATTTTCTGAGTGACGAGGGGCGTCTTGTTTTTGCGCGCCTCTCGCTGTCGCACTGTTCTTTTGTTGCTTCATCTGGCGTTCAAGGCCCTCATGTCCGCCGCCATCTTTCTTTATCATTTCATCCTTTGCTATTGTCACGGCGATCTTTCCAGAGCTTGAGGGTCAATCCTCCGTCTTTGCCCTGTAGGGACTTTGAGAATGGGATTGACGTGGGGCTGTGAAGTTCCGTCTCCCCCTACATTCCCTCCTAGAGGGTAATGTCTTTTGGGGCTCCAAGTCTGGCCCATGGGAGGATATGAAGGTAATCCTTCAGCACGGCCTTTGCGCCCCCTTTTGAAAGTTAGGTAACCGTCAGACGGCGAACCTGCGACAAATTGCCTTCATGTGTGCATTGAATGTAAAGGGATGGAAGCTTTAATCAAGAGGTTTGTGTTCTGTCTGTTCTTTCCACAGACGGCGCCAATGTACGGGGAAGAACATACTTCTGCGCTCGTATAATCATGTTGACAAGTCTCACGCTCCTCCGTACGACGTCGCTTTGTCACCGTGAAAACAGTAAACGTGAGCTAGTCGGGCGGGTGTGTTTGCCGGAAAACCCTCTCCGATGGCCTAAGTCCAGAAAACTTGACAAATAGACGAAAGCTCAATGTATTCAGG